ATTGAACAAGTAAGACTTGCGAAACAGTCCTTTCTGGTTCAATGTCTGACCTTCAACAACTCTCTAAGGGTTCGAAGTTGGGTCATTGAGGGAAATTGACACTTTTCACACCCCTGGGCTCGCGTAGGCATAATCCCGGGAACGGCTATATGCGGTTCGGTATGGAATTTATATAAGGAGATAACTCAGGAGTCGATACGCTGTGCGATAACATCTTCAGCTTGCCCACAAAACATTTTAGTTGACTAAGGTTTAATTAGCAAGCTATTGCCGGCTTTACTCTCCCTGGTTTTTAGCCCGCCCTTCTGCTTTGAAAAAGCTATCCAGCGGGCTTATGCAAACGACCTCGTGTTTGTCTGTCTGTCTGTCTGTCTTTTCCACTAGAAGGAGATGTGCTAGAGACTTCAAATTTTCAGGGTAAAGGTTCACTCCTAGAAAACGAAACGCCCACGGCAAATCCTGGCAACCAACCCTAAGGGGCTGAAACGGGGTATCAAAGAAAAGAAAGTAGGTCAAAAAAGTTTAAAAAAATTTTTTTTTATGATCTTCTAAGGGGAACTGGTGAAAGTAGAATCCTGTAGGCTAAAATTTTGTCCATTTGGCTCTATCTCTCACCGTTTGGGCGCTGGAGGGTATTTTTTTGACGAAAATAAGCCAAAAATTGCTGTAGTGAACATTTAGTTGTACAGGAGCCCCCCCACCCCTTAACAAAGAAGTTTTTCTAAGCAGAAGGGTGGGTTGTAGTCACGGTGCGTCACCGTTACATTCCTTTCTCATGCGTCTAAGGGGCAAATTTTAATGACGGCGGGTTTTAGCGGGCCGAAGGCCCCTTTATATTATTTGATTATGTTTTTCAGCTAATTTAGCAGAAACGGTCGGGCCGCAGGCCCGAGCGTCGCCGCCGGCAGGCCAAGCAGGCCCGGCCCCTGCCGAACGGAGTTGCCGGCGCAGCGAAGCGGAGCTGGCAACTCCGTTTGGCGGAAGGGCGGGCCTGTTTGTTGTATGTCACATCGTTTCGTCCTATACATTATTAGGTGTGCTTTGACGCGACAGAACTGTTTCATTTTAGACTAATTGCGCTATGAAAATTGTTTTCCGATATGTAGCCAAAAAACGACGTTTTTAGCCCGCCCTTCTGCTTTGAAAAAGCTATCCAGCGGGCTTATGCAAACGACCTCGTGTCTGT